AACCCCCAGGCAGAGGCCTCAGAAATCAAGCTGGGCAGCATCTTCATGACAAGGGGAAACTGAGGTCCAAAGAGGGGCAAGGCATCACCCGAATCATTGCCCTCTCCCAAGAAATAGGTGCTCTGACTATGTCCATTTTACAGATGGAGAAACTACTATTCCGGGGGCTCTCCCGGCTAACAACCAGCAAAGCTGGGGTGTGAACTGAGTCAAGCTGGCTCCACCCACTGCTTCATAACCTCCCCCTCACGCTAGGGCTGAGCAGCACCACCTGTCCCCCAGCAGATGCTACCATAGCATCCCTGACAGTTGTCACCAGCCTACGATTGCATCACTTCAGGGACGGGGAGTTTCCTGTCCTGAAGCAGCCCATGCATTGCACACTTACTAACAGCCAGACCCATTGCACACTTACAGCCAGACCCACAGCTGAACCTGTACACATGTGAGCCCTTTTGACTCTACCACCAACCCCATAATAACACTTGCTAATATCTCCACTTTATGCGTGAGGCAACTAAAGATGGGTAACTTACCCAAGAACCCCTGAAGGCTGAGGACCTCCGTGGGAAAAGCAAGAGATATATGTGGGTCCACAGTGGGGTGGGAAATTTGCCTCCTCAAAGGCAGAGGCCCTCTCTCTCAAGTAAACTCCATAACAGCTGTGCTTCCAAGGGTTTGAGCACTGTTGTGGTCCTGTCATTCATTCACTTGTCCATCTAGCATTTATTAAATATCTATTGTGTTCCCAGCCTTGAGTTAGGTCCTGGGGTTACAAGTGTGACATAGTCCTGCTCCTCAGAAGTCTCTGGAGTTTCTAGGGAGACAGGCCCATAGCAGGTAGTCCAAGGAGTAGACCTTCTCAAGGTCCTGTCAAGGTTAAGCCCTTCTCCTCCTCCTGCATGTACCTTCCATGCAGGAGGCAAAGAGGCTGGTGTGGTGCCCAGGGCACAGATATAGGCCAGGGGGTGCTGGGCAGCTGGGAGGATAGCTGGCTGCAGCTGGATGAGGGCGGGTCTACTCCAAACCCATGTGTGTACCAGTTGCTTGGGTCAGTGTTCCTAGAATTGCCAGAAGGAGCATTGGATTTGAGGTTGGAAGATCAGGCTTTGAATCCCAGCTTTCTAACTGTCTGTCCTCCTATAAACCCCTCACCTCCCCCTCTAAGCTTTACCTGCCTCATCTGTAAAATGGGACAAATAATGTAGGAACATCAAGGTCCTTTTGGAAGGAGAGGGGCTGTCGAGGAATTAATTCAGTGAAAAAGCTTCCTACTTTCCAGGACTGTGTGAGGGTAATGACATGGATAATTGGCCAATGTAAAGTCTCTGAGTGGTGTCAACCCATGGGAGAGGCTTGGGAAGGGCCTGGTGAGTCTGGAATGAGCTGCGAGATTGGTGATTCTGGGTGACCATTACCTGGCTGCCTTCGCCTCCAGGAAGCCACGTGGTCAGGGCAGGGCCTTCCCTGATGTGGTCAGGGAAGGGCCACTGCAGCCGCGTGCTGTCTATGAGTCTCTGGCCCACACCAGGCTGCAGGGCCAGCAGCTGCCTGGAGATGATGAGGGGTCCTCATAAAAAATCATGTTACCCCTTACAAGCCGCCTACACATCTTAGCTCACATATGCTTCTATAGCATAGCGAAGAAGCTTGTCTCGTTCCCATTTTTATTGATAAAGGAACTGAGGCCCAGAAAAGGGGAAGTGACTTGCCTCAGATCATACAGCTAGTAAGTTGCAGAACTGAAAGTAGACTTAGGGATCCTGACCTCCAGATTCGAGATCCCTCCACTCTCCCCGGTTTTCTGTTCCCCCTTGGCCAATGCTAAGGTGTTTTCATCGACATGGCCATAGGGGATCCCCAGGGACAGAGAGTTTAAGGTTTAATAGCACAGAGCCAAACCAAACATCTCACTGAGTTGCCGACTCTTCAGAACCGAAAAATCTGCGGAAACCTTCCAGCGCCAAATCCTCCTTTTGCAATGAGAAAACTGAAGCCCAGAGTGGGACAGGGACTTAGCCGAGGTCACAAAGCACTTTGGCATTAGCATGGCAATTATAGCTCAGCCTATGACTCTTAGTGCAGTGCTCTTCCCCCTTGTGCCCTGGCTTTGAGCAGACACCTTTAGATGGTGGCACCAGGATGCCAGGCCAGGTCCTGGGCACCAGCACTTCCTGCTAGTTTAGCACCATGTGCACTGAGCCCCTCCCTTGCACCAGGCGGTGGGGTATGTCAAGCCAAACCAGCTCTAGAGAAGAGGAGTGTGTCATACCTCATTGGGCAAAGCCCATTCCCCACCCCTCTGAAGGCAGACCTAGGCCAACTCAGACCTGGCAGGGACCCCAGCCACACAGATGCAGCGAAGGGGTGGGAAGACAGACCTGGGTCAGCCGGAGATGGGGCTCCACCCAGCTGCACAGGTACCTCCTGCCAGTACCAGAGTGCCAGAGGACAGGCTCTGCTCTACCCTGCCATTTAACAGATGGAAAAAATGAGGACGCAAGAGAGGAAGAGAGGTGCTCACGGCTGACTTGGGACAGAAACCCAAGTCCCTCAGTTCCCTGTCCTGGGATCCTTTGACAATAAGTAAAACTGCTGCTGCTGTAAATAACAGTACTCCAAGTATCAGGCATAAAATGATTATGAGGTCATGACCCTTTCCCTCCCTTAGTGTGGACCACAGAGTGGCCACCTGACATATTAATCTCATTGAGCAGTGTGGTTCTCAACCCTGGCCACACACTAATATCACCAGAGAAGCCTCTAGCATTGCAGTGCCTGGGTCCCAGCCCTGAGGCTTTGAGTTCATTGATACAGGGCTGAACCAGGGCCTTGATATGTTTTCAAGACTCTCAGCCAGGCCTGAGAGCCATCTGTTAAGACGATTTTAACTGTCTATAAGACAAAACCCAACTAACATTGGCTAAACCACAAGGATCTTCAGTACCTAACAAGGAGGCTAGGGTGGGCAGAACCAGCATTGGTTCAGCAGTTCTGCAACATAATGAGGGATCCAGAAAAACTATTACTCATTATGCCAAACTCATTGTATCAACCTGTCATTCACTGTCCCCCTCATGGTCACGAGATGGCTGCTGCCACTCCAGGCATCAAGTCCTCCAAGCACAAAGCAGAGGTTGGGGCAAGGAGTCATTTTGTTCACTACTCTCTCTTTTATTAGAAAGGAAAGTCTTCTGTAGCCGCACCCCAGCAGACTTTCTGTTATAACTCTTTGGATAAAACTAGGCTATATTCCCACCCCTGGACTAATCACTGGCTGAGGCGGTGAGATTGTCCCACCTGGCTTGAAGCAGTCATAACTCATCCATGGGACAGGGCACCCTGTTGCCTAGACAAAGTCAGGTTCTGCTATCAGGGAAGATGGGGGAAATGGCCGTTGGGGAGGACCATCTGCAGGATCTGCCACACCCTATGAAAAGGGAGCTGTTTGGCCAGCCATGCAGTGAACTTTGACCTCCTCACATAAGGTGCTGGCCTTGGAAAGAGGATGCAGGGTCAAGTCCACCCATGAACTACTGACCACAGCGCAGGAGAAGTTCCTCTTCCCACAAGGATCTGGGTAGGCTTCCCAGAAGAGGGCACTTTCCCTGGGCCTTGAAGGAGAAGGCTCCTCTGAGGACGTTGGGCTCAGGTGCCCAGGTGGGTTCTCTCTGGGGCCGAGGCTGAGGGGCAGCAAGCTCCAGTGGGAAGCTCTTCTCTTGGTGATGGCAGAGGAGCAAGAGCAAACCCCAGTGCACACACTTGTCATGTGTCTCCTTGACGCGTGTCCATCAGCACTCATAGGCCAGGGCAAATCATGCAGACTTGAGGTCCATATCAATAGGGAAGGGTGGGGAAAGATCTGCCTTTAGGGAAAGGGAGTGAATATTTGCTGAACAAATCAAAGTAATGCACTGGTATTCAGGGTATTTTGTAGAGGGCCATGTGATTCAACGTTCAGCCAGGACCAAGAACCGTTGACCCACACAGTGTGAGTCAGCCAGCCAGAACAAAAATCAAGCTTAGTTGATTCCACTTCATTTTCTTAGAGCAGTTGGCACCCGACTGGAGTCCATTACTCTTTGAGGCATTTTTAAGAAAAGAGTCACTGGAATTAACATGGAACATTATTTTAATGACTGATTTTAACTAGATCGTGTGATTTCAAGTAATGGGTCTGTGTCTGATTCATCTCTGGTATTCTCAGGCTGGCCACAGTGAAAAGAAATGGAGAAATGCCAGGATCTATGCTCTTGGTAACTGGTATGCAATCCTGTGTAAGCTCCATGAGGGCAAGGATTTTTGTCTGTTGGAATCATCGTTGTATCCTCAGTGCTTAGAAGAGTGCCTGACACAAAGTGGGTGCTCGACGAGTGACCTTTTAGTTAATGTATGCATAAATACATGGATAAATAGGTTATCTGGAATGGAAAAATAAACAATGGATGAGTGGATGATTGGCTAGATGAATGTATGGTGGGTGGATGTGATGATGCATGAATAAATGGATGGCTGGGTGGATAGACAGGATAATGGAGGGATGGGAGGACAGTTGGATGGATGGTTGGATGGATAGAAAGATGAATGGATGGATGAATGATGAGTAGTGATGATGAGAGAATGACAGATAAATGGTCAGATGAGTAGAGAGATGGACGGATAGGAGGATAGATGGAGGGCAGTTGAATGGGTGGTTGGATAGTTGAATATATGGATAGAGGGATGGATGGATGGGAAGGTAGATAATATATAGGTCGGTGGGTAGATGGATGTGTGGGAGGATGAATAAATGGATGGATGGTGAGATGGGTTGGTGGGTAAATGAAGAGATGAGTGGATGGATGGATATATAGATGGACAAGTGGTTGGGTGGGTCATGTGACCAAATGAATGAATTTTAAAATGAATTATTGTCAGTGAAATGCACACCCTTCCCTGTGGGTAAACATAGCTATCCTGCAAAACTGTTCATGACCAGGGTGGTTTTGGTTTCCTCACAGGGTTTTCTGATTTGCTGTTCCCTCCTCCCCACTGGGTGTCTGTTCTGGAGGCCAGGGTGAGAGGTGGAGGAGGATGGCCACGCAGATCAGCACTCGGGGCAGCCAGTGTACCATTGGGCAGGAGGAGTACAGCCTGTACAGCAGCCTGAGCGAGGAGGAACTGGTGCAGATGGCCATCGAGCAGAGCCTAGCGGACAAGACAAGGGGTCCAACCACTGCTGAGGCCACCGTGTCTGCATGTGCCAACCGCCAACCTGCCCATTTCTACCCATGGACCAGGTGAGCAAGGCGAGGCTGATGAGGGGAGTGGGGCCATCCAGGACATCCACAGACTGCAGATCCCAAATGCTGTTCATCCAAAACCAAGGTATCCTGGTCTCTAGGTTGCCTTTTGCACCTTTCTGATTTACATTTGTTGTCTGAACTGACTGAGCTCTGGCTGTGCCAGGTACTGCAGTGGGTGCTACACACACTCTGCCTCCTTTCATCCGCTTAGGAACCCTCTCAGCGGGCTCTGGGTTATAGACCCGTTTAGAAGAGGAAACTGAAGCTCAGGGCTGAAAAACAGGCCCAAGATCACACAGCCAGTAGATAATGCTGCAGAGATCGGAGCTGCCTGGCTCCCTATCTTGCAGCGCAGCCTCCCTTGAAAAACATGTCTGGTGAGCAAGGGATGTCTGCCCACAGGGCCATCCTGTCTCCTTCTTCTGGCTCCCCCTTCTCAGCACCACCTCATCCTCTCAGTCACAGGACTTTCTAAAGCAGCGCCATCCAAATATGACACCAGCCGCAACTGCAATGCATGGATGCAATTTTAAAGGTTCCAATAGTCACATTTAAAAAGTAAAGAGAAACAGGTGAAATTAATTTTCATTGGTATTTCACATCTGAAATATCACCATTTTCACCAATATATTTGTATTTCCATCAATATAAAATTATGAATGAGATTGTTACCATTTCTTTTTGTCCAACAAGTCTTTGAAATCCAGTGTGTATTTTACACTCACAGCGCATCTTGATTCAGACCCACCACATTTCAAGCCCTCCCCAGCCACATATGGCCAGTGACTACCTTATTAGACGGTGCAGATCTAGAAGACACCTTCTTTGTAGGAGGTGGGAGCTAGAGAGATGATGAAGCAGAGTGGTAACTGACCTTAAAATGCATTTGGAAAAGACCTATATAAGCCATAAAATTGCTTTTGCTCCCCACCACCCCCAGCCAAGGTCAAATGTGTTTGGGCATGAATGGCAGGGCATGGGAATTGCTGTGACAATTGTGTTGATGGGCCACAAATCTCATTGTGTACAGCAGCCAGCTAGCTCCCTGCGTGACCTCAGGCAAGTCACTTAACCTCTCAAAACCTCAGCTTCCTTCTCAAATAACAACAACAATAAACAGACTTTTTCCGATGCGCAGTCACAGTTGACAGGGGATGAAGGTGGGTGATGGTGCATCTCAGCCCTGTCCCCTAAGTGACTTTGCCCTTACCAAGGCTGGACCATCTCTGTCAGGCTGGCTGGGCGGAGGCCCAGAGCTGAGGAGCCCCTTTTAAAAGGGAAGGCGGGCAGCTGGAATGAGTACGAAGACTCCAGGTTACTAAGCTCCCCCGAGGGCGTTCCATTCTGAAACCCAATCTGAAAAACAGAAACCTGAAGCCAAGGACTGGGTTCATCTCGGCTGGTGCTCAAAGTGGCCCTGGTTCCTGTTCTGGCTGGTTCAGCCAAAGACAGACCACAAGTTCCTCTTTCTCAGGAGGGGGTCAGATAAAGATAGGGCATCCTCCCTCTGAAGACGGCCTGCTGCATGAAGCCAGCACGTCCCCCCAGGTGTCTGCAGCCTTCTCCCCAGCATAGGAGCCCCCTCAGGAGTCCCAGGGATGCTTGGAAACATTAGAACAAAGTGGGCCCTCGGCCTCCAGACCCTGACTCTGCCTTCATCCGGTGGGTAAGGAAATGGAGGCCCACCCTGGGCCATGAACATTTATTTAACTTCCTGCGGAAAAAGCTCTCCTGGAGAACTGAGACCATTTCTCCCAGGTCAAGCAGCCGTCATCTGAGGTCCAGCCCCACAAGCAATATAGCAGAGGAGGGTCCACCTGCATTTTCTTACTGTAGGAGTGACCTGAAACCTCCTAGGTTCGCTTCTGCACCTTCGCTTCTGGAAGGAGGCTGGGCTTGGGTCCTGCTGGGAAGAAAAAGCCCTTAGATAGAGTGTTTAATGCAATTCTCCTCCCCCCAAATGCACATTGAGCACCTCCCATGTGCCTGCCACACATTCATTCAGTTAATGTTTACAAAAGCCACCCAAAGTGGGTGCTTCTGTGTTCATTTTACAGACGACAAAACATGCCCACAGCAGGGCCAGGCATGGAACCAAAATCTGTCCCGCTCTGAAGTTCAGACACTTCGCCAGGCTCTGCTGATGCTGTGAAGGCCTCTGTTTCCTTCCCCTACCCCATCTTGAGGTGAGGTTTTGACCTCATTACGTCCGTCTCCTACTCACAGAGGCCCAGGGTCCCCAAATTCACACAGCACACACGCACGTGTGCTGTCACACCCAGACACGCAATATAGTGGGTGCAGGACCCGAGACAGTCCTTGTTCACTTTTATCTGTCCAAATAAATCCACAGCAAGTTTAGCAACAGGATGTCATCCTTGTCCCCAGGCAATCCACATGGCAGCTTCTTCTCATCTTTGGGTCTGAGATTAAGCATCACCTCAGCCAGTCCTGCCCTGACCACTGTCCCAGGCCAACTGGTTTTTCACCTCTTACTTGCTCTCATGGTTGTTTCCTTGTGGCCTTGACCTTGACTTACAATTCTTATTTATTTGTCTGCTTCTGCCATTAACCGATGCTTCCAGTGAAGTGCTGTGTCTGACCTGTGGCAGGCACCACATGGCTATCTGTGAACGAGTGAATGGGTGAGTAAAGGAATAGATGAAAAGGCAGCAGAGTGGAAAGAGAAGTAGGTCTAGAGATTCAAATTCTTCCTCTATCACTGGCTGTGCAACCTTAGGTGAGTTGCTAGCCCTATCTGAGCCCCAATGGCCTCATCTCTACAATAGCAACAGCGAAAATGTGCTGTGCTCCCCTTGCAGTATTCCTGCGAAAAGCAAATACGATGAGGTGGGTGTTGGAGCTTCCCACATCTTGCAGCTGGTGTGGACCTCCCCACATCTTGCAGCTGGTGTGGACCTCCCTGGCCCTGTCGGAGTGCTCCAGCACCAACCTCATGACGGCCTCTGCTTCACAGACAAGCTTCTCGGGTCTTCCTGGGACGCCCTCCTGAGAGTGTTCCCAACTAGACTGTGACCTCCTTGGGGACAGAGAGCTGAGCTGATATTGTTTATTTATTTGTTTATTTTTTAATCTCCAGAGCCCAGCTTAGAGCCTGGATCATTGTAGCTACCTAATAAATGTTTTTAAACAAATAAATACCTTTGAAACCAATAAAATGCTCTGGCAATGTAATTGGTCATTATTATATTGTGACCAAAATGGAGTCCACTGAGTCTTTGGGATCTTAGAAATGAAAGTCAGATCAGTACCCCGAAGAAAACAGAATTCTGTTGAAAACCATTTCCCAGTTTGCTGCTGTCCCACCTCAATGTAAGGGACAGAATGTGATGAGAATCAAATGAGGATCATTTGCCAAGCTTTGGTCCCCCGAGGGAGCCCAAAGAGACAGACCTAGCTTCCTGTTCCACGGAGAAGTGCGGTCCTCGAACCCATGAAGTGCAGAGCCCAAGGTTTCCATGAATGGACCAGTCAGAATGAGTCCAGGAAGCTGGGTCTTCATAATCTTTAAACTTCCGCATTTTATTTAAGATACATTTCTGAGAAGACAAATGAGGAAAACATGAAGCAGGAACTGGCTGAGGCTGATGTGTGCACAGCTTCAAACAATTCACATCAAGCCACCCACACTTACTGTGCACTTATGATATGCCAAGTTGTGAATCAGGGCTGGGCCCTGCTCTTCCTAAGATCACAGTCTACTGAGGGTGAAGGCCCAGAACTACCTGATGACACAGCAGGGAGAGCACAGCTTGCTGAGTTACAAAGGGACACTACAAAAGGTCAATTCACTTAGTCAAGGAAGTAGGCTCTGCAGGATGAATAGGAGTTCGTCAAGCAGACTAGAGGAAGCAGGCCTCTTTGAGCCTCAGTTCCCTCATTTGCAAAGGAAGCCAATTACATCTCCTTCACCAAGTGACTGGGGAATTAAATGAGATGCTTGGCGCAATGTGCCTGTTATAACAAGTGCTCAATGAATCGCAGCTATGGATAGGAAGGCAGAGTCACAGCAGCTTGGAATTCATGTTCTCCTCCACATGTGATTCTTCTCTGGTCAGCCCAGAAAGGATGGACTGGCTGGTGGGTGAGGGAGAAGCAGAAACCTCATGGATGGGAGGCCGATTCCAGAGACCGTGCAGGAACCAGGGTGGGGGTCAGTTACATGCTATGAGCTCTTCTCTCTACCTAAGAGGGCAGGGGACTGGCTCTCCAGGAGTATGAGATCTTGGTCCACAAACACACAATACCAAGATTGCCATACGGAGTTTTAATCCTTCAAAGACTTTTGTTTGTTTTGTTTTATTTACTTAAATGTATCAAGTGCCTGTGTGCTAATACTCTTGACATCTGGGCTTGATGTGGGTTGCCGTGAGGCTCTGGTGAGAGAACAGAGAGCCTGGCACAGTAGCAGGCATGGGGTGGACTCTCATGGCACAGTGGCGGGCGTGGGGTGGAATCTCGATTTTGTTAGCTTCCTCCTCTATTAAGGTGCCTACTTGCCCCTGCATTCAGCCAGGCCCAGCCCAATCGCTGCCTCCCTGGGGCTGACCTGGGCTTCTTACTAACTCAGACAGAGCAGCCATCCGTTGACTCACCGAGCGACTAGGAGCACTGTCCTCCCAGTCCATTCTCTGCTCTCACTGAGCCTGACTGTGCCTGAATTCATGATAAGCTGGACTCCAGGGTCAGGTGATGGTGACACACTCTCCCCAGAACCTGCCCAGTGACACGCAAAGGACAGAGGCCCTACCTGGGGCTCTTCCAGGGCATGACCTGTACCCACATCCTGCCGAGGCCAGGCTCCTCTCGCCTCTGATGACTCAGCCCAGGAGTTTTGCTCTGTTGGTAATTCCCCTGCTTGGGGCCCGAGGTGAAATGGGGCCTCCAGCCTTGATTGGCAAGCGCATGAAACCCAGCCAGGGGCCCTGGCTCCCCAACCAGCCCTGAGACTCACGGCTCAGTAACTCTGATCAGTCGCCTTGCCCAGTCGCCAGCTCCAAAGCCAGTGGACGCACCCCAGTCCCAGTGCTCCCAGAATGAGCCCTTCTGCCTTGATCTCACCCTGTCCTCCGTGACTCTATGGCTGTGTGTGGCCTTGTCTCCCTCCCTGCTGGCTTCCAAACATCCTCAGGATCCACAGAAAGATATATCTTAATGAGCTGCATCGCTACACAGAGCTGGGCTCTGGGACCGAGCCAGAGCTGGGAAATCTTTGTTGAAGGCAACTCAGTTTGTCTGTTTCCTCATCTGCAAAATGGGAACAGCACACCCACTACTTCCATCAATGGTGGCAGGAGGATGGAAATGAGGAGAGGCTCAGCATGCCTTTGTGAACATTTGCCCTGCACAGTTGTCAGAAATTGTCATCATCACCGTCTCCCTCCACGTCCATCAGCCTCAATATCCCGGCCATCACTGCTGCTGCTATTACTATGCAGAGACAGGTCCTCATTTAGGACGGTGCAGTGGGCTTTTCCCCCCAGTGCTTTATTATCCTGCTAAAAACATTCTAACAATGGCAGGTAATCAGAGGCCGCGCATGCACTAAGCATGAGGGGGGCTGCGACCCAAGGATCCTGGGAGGTGGAAGCCCAGGGCCTCATCAAGACGACAGGGCTGGAGACAGCCGAGGTGAGCCTGGGCCCAGGCTGCCTCCATCTGCCCGGCTCTCTCTCCTTCTCAGGACCAGGCACTAATGCAGAGGACACTGAACCCAGCAGCTGTTAGGGCTAAGGAGGGGCCTTGGCTCTGGGATCTGTTGGACACTGAGTCTCCACAGCTACAGAAGCAGTGAGGACATCCCCAGTCTGGTCCTGGTCCCACTTCTCCATTTTGCAAATAAGGAAACTGAGGCACAGAGAGGGGATGGGGCTTGTTCAAAGTCACAGGGCCAGTCGGTGTGGAGGTCGGAGAGCTAGAGAAAGGATGAAAAGGCAGGAAGAGGCCAGGCCTTCAGAGGACAGGGTGTCATCAGGAGCTGGGCAGACAGTGGCGGTCTGAACCTCTGCTCCACTCGCTGCCCCACTGCAGGTGACCCTGTGCAGTTACGTCCCCTCTCACAGCCTCCATGTCTGCATCTGTAAAAGGCACCCCCATCTACAGTCAATGGATGCGGATAAATGAGGGCATGTGCCCCAATGTGGGTCAGTAGAAGACCAGGAGCAGGGGATGGGAGAAGGAAGGCGGGAGGGAGTGACGGCGGCGAGCATGAGGAAGGCAGCCAGGCCTGCAGCCAGCCCTGAGAGGTTGAAGCAGAGGAGTGAGCAGGTTCCCCTCCTCCCACTACCCTTGCTCCTCTCTACCAGACCCTGGCCTTGCCGGGGCACCCACAGAATCTGTAGGCTCTGGCCCGACCAGAAAGAGTGTGGGTGCTTCTCAGGGTCATAATTACCCCATGCCCCGCAGGCTGTGAGTCACTAGTAGCAGAGTGCCCCCACAGTCCCCCCCAGAAGAGTGTGGTGAAAGGCCAGGGCCACTAGGGTGTCGAGAGCGCCAGGCCTGACCTACTGGGGGTGGGGTCAGTAGGGGCCACATACCCTGTTTTCACGACAACCTCAGGCCAACTCAGATTTGTGGAGTGGCCATCCCACCTCCTTCCAGCTCTTCCACTCTCACAAGAGCCTGGTGGGGTGGGAAAACTGAGGCCATAGAGGCAAAAGCATGATAAAATGAATAGTTAGCACGTGTGGAACGCCCTCTGTGCCTTACACCCCACTAAGCTCCTCACACAATTCGCTTACTCAGGCCTCATCGGCCATCGAGCACAGGTTCTTTTCATGCCACCTTGCAGATGGGGGGACTAAGGCACAGAGAAGGTCAACCTGTCCCATGTCACACCGCCAAGGAGTGCCAGAGCCTGGATGTGAACCTGTGTCTGCCTGGCTGCAGCCCTGGTTCTGACACCCTTCCTCGTGCATCCTATAGTAACACTATAGAGGTTACTATAGTGTCTGCTCCCACCCCTGGGACAAGATCCCCTAATGAAGGGCTGGCAGGTGGGCGTGGGGGCCACAGGCACAGCTTGGTTTCTCAGCTTTGCTCCCCTATCCTCTGCTTCCCCATGAATCTCTCATCCAGCCCTGCAGGGATCTGCCTGGCCAGCGGTGAGCCTGAGCCCCTTTCATCCGGGGACCTGCCGACCTGCCGTCCGTGGCTCACATCCTCCTGGGTGAAGAATGTCACCTTGCTTCCTATCTGCCTCTCTCGTGGTTGGCTGGGGAGGGGGACGAGGGGGTGGGGTGAGGTTAACCTCATTGTTGTCTTATATGGTCATTTAAATCTCCCAGGGCTTCCTCCAAGGGCCAAAAATAATCCGGAGACACAGCAGCTGTGTCCAGCACACAGAGAGGACCCAGCCATCTGCTTTGGTTCAGAGCCCTGTGTCTGTCTGTCAGTCAGTCCCTCCCCGGCTCTCCCTCCATCCTCGTTCCTGCCTGAAGCCATGACCCGCTTCTCCTATGCAGAGTACTTTTCCCTCTTTCACTCCTGCTCTGCACCCTCCAGGTCCACTGCACCTCCTGAGAGCTCGCCGGCCCGGGCCCCGATGGGCTTGTTCCAAGGGGTCATGCAGAAATACAGCAGCAGCTTGTTCCAGACCTCCCAGCTGGCGTAAGTGACTCCTGTCTGGCCCCAGGACCATCCAAGTTCACTCCCCTAATTGGGATGGTAGGGAGGGTGGGAAGCAAGCCCACAGCCCCCAGGAGGGCAGAGGGCACTATGGAGGCACCTGCCGTGCAAGCCCCTTCTAGGGGCGTCCCCTTGGGGCCCCGCTGCTCCTGCTGAGCTGCGCTTGGTGGCCACAGACTTTGGTCCTCAAGGAACTGCCAGCCAGGCATGCTGGTGATCCTCCCTCAGATGCCCCCAGCACGGGACCTGAGTGCTGGAGGAGCCCCATGGGGCTCTGAAACTGGGGACCCAGCACGAGGGAAATTGGGGAGATGGCCTTAGCACCCCTGAGGCCCAGAAGAGCTTGGAGTTGACCTTGATGAGTTGGCTGCACCCTTCTGTTTGTCCCAGTCTCACTTTCCTCCATGCCATCACTCTGGGTCCATCCAAAATGCCCACACCCACAGCCTTTGTTTTGTTTTGTTGTCCTTGTTTGTGAAGTGCCAGGTGCTAAAATCCAGAACTAATCTAAGCTGCAGGGGTTCTGTTTGCCTGGCACCAGGGGGCAGGGCTAATGGGTTCCTTAGAAAATAATTCTGCCTCCCTCCCCTCTCTGTACTGCTGGAATAGTGACCCCGGAAGCAGCCAAAAGCTAAAGAGGGGCCCATCACTGGAACCGCATTTCCTCACTCAGTTACGTTGTAGAGAAGGGAGGAGGCAATTGGTCAGTATTTTCTTTCTCCTTCCCAGCCTTTTTCAAATCCTGCCGCCCTCCACTTCCTTGGTGTGGTGGGTGTGTGGAGTGGTTGACAATCTGGAAAAGGGAAACCCAGTGCTGGTCTCAGCTACTGCCACCTCCCACATGACTGCCTGAGAGTCGCTGGCTCCTCTGAGTCTCCCTTCTCTGTAGGACACGGCAACGTGACCTCTAGGGTCCCATCCAGCTTATTTCTGATGGCCTGACACCCCCAGCACCCTCCCCGACCCACAGGGCAGAGACTGTGTCTGAGGTCACAGAGAAGCTGTGAATGTGTGGGCTAAGAGCTCCAGGGTCCTTGCATCACAGCTGGAGAGACCTAAGCTGGGCGGCAGGTCCTGAAAGTGTTCTCATGACACTGCACCGCGTCCTGCTCACCAAGGCCACGAGAAAAGCCAGCCCTCCTCCCTTCCACTTCAGCTGGGGTCCCATTGAAGACCCTCCAGGAAAAGGGGGGCACATACCCCCACTGGGCTTTTCCTGATGCTGGCAGGGGCTGCTCTGGCTGCTCCTAAGTGGAACTTGTGAAGGTGGCAGTGACAGTGTTGATGGGGACTTCAGGACTTATCTGGTCAGTTTCCCATCGTCCTTGCTGGGTCTGTTGCTACACCGGCATCTGTGCTCTGATGCTATTAATAACCAGAGAGCCTGAGAGCAGGAAGAAGTGCTGCTCACGCTAGAGGAAGTGGCTGGGAGGGTGCAGGGGCTGGTGGCAGAGACCCCCAGAGCCCATCCTAGCCCAACATGGCGTGGGGGTCCTGGGAATGAGGCTTGCCTCCAGCCTCACCTTCTCCATCTGGGAAATGGGACTATTGATGCAGAACCCTCCCCAAAAGTGGATCAGAGAGCCACAGCCATCGTGGTTCTCATGGACTCTCCAAGGATGGGGCAGGGAGCTCAGTGAATGAATGAATGAAGGAAGGAAGGAAGCAATGAATGAACAAAGGGACTTTAACAAGCCAAGCAAGGAATGGCTTCACTTTAGCCCTGAAGTCTTTTTGACATTCAAAAGTATTAAATTGTGAAAGCTTCAAATTCATTAATCCTTCCAGTAATTTTTTTTCTGCAGCTGGATGTCCTGGGAGTGGGAATAAGTGACGGGGCAAGGTGAGGAGTTGGAAGACCCCAGAGAGACGCTCAGGGTTAAGAGGGGCCCTCGAGGTGGGCATGCCTGGTAAACATTAGAGCGCTATACTCAGGGAAAGCATTTAATTCTCACAAGTGCCTGGCATGTGGGTGATTAGCCACCCCTTAGGAGGCTGGCACTGTGTGCCTGAATCCTCTTGGTAAAAAGGGTCTTGGTATGACATTTACTGCAGCCATAGAAAGCCACAGGGATTAAGGGGTCCCCCAATCCTCTTGCAGCCACCGGGCTGCAGGGGGCTGAGTGCTCATCCTAGAACCAGCGGGGATGAGGACCGAGTGACCCCACTGCCAGCACTCCCTGGGAGAGAGGACCCCTGGTCTGGCCTTGGCCTGACCTTGAGGACTGACCCACTCCTTGCTCTCGCAGGCCTGTGGATCCCTTGATAAAGGCCATCAAGAATGGCGATGAAGACGCCTTGAAGACCATGATCAAGGAAGGGAAGAATCTCGCAGAGCCCAACAAGGAGGGCTGGCTACCGCTGCACGAGGCCGCGTACTATGGCCAGCTAGGCTGCCTGAAGGTCCTGCAGCGAGGTGAGGGTTGGGCTCTGGATGTGGCAAGAGGTGGGAAAGGGACTGGGGGAAGGGCTGCTGCTCCTGGGGCTTCATGTTCTTTGCCCACAACCACCTTGATGAGAAGGACAGGCAAGGCTGTCACCTTCGTTTGTCAGTTAGTCACAGAGTTAGGAGAGGGGAGAAGAGTTGTCTCCACCCCCTGACAGACACCCCCTGCTGCCACCTCTCCAGGCCTCTGAGGACAGGAGAGCCTAATTCCTAGAAAAGGAATGAGGGAGGGCTGACTTTTAGGAGAGCTGCTGCCAACTTGTTCCAGAATGTCCCAGGGGCTGATTTGGTATGAAAAATACTGCAGCTGTGCCTGTACCCGGCCAAGGCTATCCCCCACCTGCTGTGGGGCCCTGGGCCAGCCATGCCTCCTCTCTGAGCCCTGTCTTTGTGCTGAGCCAGGATTAGAAGGACAAGTCCTGCAGGCAGGTGTCACCTCTGCCCTGAAGCAGCACAGACCCCAAACGGTCCCCCACACTCCAAGAAACCACAGCATGTAACAGCGGGTTTCCAGCAATGGCTGGCGTGAGTTCGAGGGAAGGACAGGAGTATTAGAAGAGGGAGGGGCTCAATTAGGGAAGGCTTCTCAGAGGACGTGGCATCTGAGCATGGACTTGTACAACCAGGAAGCTAAAATGGCCCTGTGAAAGGGCCAGATGAATACAGTCTGTAGTTGGTAAATTTCAGAGGATGTCATAGATTGTTCCTGAAATTGGGAGGCAATCTGGAAAGCCTCTGTGTTGCGGGATCGAGTATCTTCTTCCTACGTGAATTTCCCGGTGGGCCCTCCCTAGCGTACCCAGGGACCATCGACCAGCGCACCCTGCAGGAGGAAACAGCTGTTTACTTGGCAACGTGCAGGGGCCACCTGGACTGTCTCCTGTCACTTCTCCAGGCAGGAGCAGAGCCGGACATCTCTAACAAATCCCGAGAGACACCGCTCTACAAAGGTGAGGTCCCCACCCCGGAGTGGGCTTTCCTGAGGAAGAATCCAGAAGGTGGGTGGGCAACAGGGAATGTTGCTCCCATAAGTGCATAACCCCCAATGTGGCCCTGCTCAAATTCACAATTTATGTAACTGAATCATTCATTCCTGCATGCATTTTACCAACATTTTCCAACTGCCTCCCATGGGCCAGGATGCTGAGGGACACTGAGGGCTCGGAGCTGAAAAACTATAGTCCAACCTGTGCACCCTCCCAGCCCTGTAGGCACCCACACACAGATAGCAGTGAAGTGCTTGGCAGGGGGTATTGTGGGAGCATGGGGGAGGGGCACCCAGAGGGAGGGTGCCTGAGCTGAACCGCAGAGGAGGAATTACCCGCTGGCCAAGCAGGGAGAACCGCACAGGCAAAGGCATGAAGGAGTGCGAGAGCATGTACCTCTGGGACATTTGTTTAAGAAAAGTAAGGCCTCCTGGCTTACTCAGTACATCATCCATGGACATTTGTTGGCTGCCCTAGCAGTACCAGAGTCAAAATCTAAAGAATCACAATAGCATTGATCGAGTGTTTAGTATATGCCAGGCACTGTTCTCTTACGGAACCCTCATGTCCATCTACACATGAGGTAGGCACTGCCAGTGTCCCCTTTCACAGATGAGGACCTAAGGCACCGAGGCATGAAATGGGTTGCCCAGGATCACACAGCTAGCAGGGGGACCCCAGTGGTTTAAACTCTGGGAGGTGGATGTCACACGGCACTCAACCACTTCATTCTAAACGTCCTGTCCACGCCTACATGCTGAAGCAATCAGCTGGGGTCTTGCAAAAATGACCAGGCCTTTGTACTTGGAAAAATTACAGATATCCTTGATTTCCCATGTGTCTGCTATCCAGTGCTTGGAACAGCTTGGGCAGCAGGAACTGTGTAGTAGGTCTTTGGATCCACTGCAGACCCACTGTGGAAGTGTCTTCCCTGGAATCCGTGCCTGCCAGGGCGCCATGGCTATCACCTGGAACCTCAGCTGTCCAGAGGGAGTGCCCAGGAAGCTGGACAGCCCACAGCCAGAACTTGGCCCTGGTCTAGCAAGCACACCTACTATGTGTCAAGCACCATGCTCATGCCTTACACACAGTCTCACTCCCATAGCATCCGCTCGAGAAGGTTTTATTCTCTCCATTTTACAGGTGAGAAAATCAAGGCTTAGAGAGGTAGAAGGCTTGGGCTATGGTCCTGTTTGAAACAGTACACAGGCAGCCCTCCTCCTGCTGTTGCCAGTCTCCCTGACCCATTCCTCACTCCTCCTCCCACTGACACACAGAGAAGCTTCTAGGGCTGGTTAATTTGGACAAGTGCCCAGGTGACTCCAATACCACCTGCAGCTCCTGGTGAGAACTCTAAGGCCAGAGCCAAGGGCACGTTTGGGGTCTAGAGAGAGATGAGGCTTATAAAGGAGGTTAGAGCGGGTCAGGAAAGACTTGCAGAGCTGTACTCACAACCTGCATTTTACCCTGAACTAAATTAGTAGCCTTTGCTGGAGCAGGGGGAATTTCAGTAGGATGATGACACTGTCCGCTCCTCATCTAGAAAGAGTCTCCCAGTGTTGGTAATGTGGAAGACTGACGCAGGTACCATTGGAAGGGGAAATCACAGGGACATCCTGGGACATCCCAGGGGACAGAGACCTTCAGCCTGACTACCTGGGTTTGAATTCCAGTTCTGCCACTTAGTATCTGTGTGACTTTGGGCAAATCACTTACCTTCTCTGTGCCTCACCTTCCTTATCTGTGAAAGGGGATAACATCACTACATCCTTTAAGGCAATTCGGGAGGATTACATTAGTTAATCCTGTAAAATGTGCTTAGAACAGAGAGCCTGGCATAGAACCAGTACTATATATATGAATCAACAAGTATTCTTGCTGATATTAGTATCAGTATTACTTTTAGTCGTCTATCCCAGGTTCAATGCACAGATTGGAACTTAATACACATGCAGTGGAAAGCTGAATGAGTGGATGAGTGAATGGACAGGTGAATGAAAGCAGTCTCTGCTGGCCAGTTCCTGCCAGGCCCTGCTGACCATCCCTGCTTCCCCCTGAGCACAGCCTGTGAGCACAAGAACGCGGAGGCAGTGAAGATTCTGGTGCAGCACAACGCAGACACCAACCACCGCTGCAACCGCGGCTGGACCGCTCTGCACGAGTCTGTGTCTCGCAATGACCTGGAGGTCATGGAGATCCTGGTGAACGGAGGAGCCAAGGTGGAATCCAAGAATGCCTACGGCATCACCCCCTTGTTCGTGGCTGCCCAGAGTGGGCAGCTGGAGGCCCTAAGGTTCTTAGCCAAGTACGGTGAGTGGCCAAGTGTCCCTAGGTCATAGAGTCCCCAAAGGGCACACGGGAAGGATGTCAGAGGTCAGCTCTAAGGGAAGGCGAGTTAGGGGTCATCTTGTGGGCACACTGACGGAGTGAGTTTCCTTCTAGAGTACTGTGTTGAGAAAGATCCTGAGGCTGTGTCCAGGCTCAGTGGGAAGAACGTCGGGATCCACTAGTGACATCTGCCATTAGCACAAATATGGGAGTGTGGCCCATGAACCACCTATTTGCCATTTATAATCTAGTCCAACATTTTCATTTTACAAACAAGGAGTCTGAGGCACAGAGAGAGGAAGTGACTCATCTACAGTCCTATAGCAAATTAGTTGTAGAACTAGCTAGACTCTTGGTCTCCTGACACCCCAACCGCTTCTCTTTCCACCACATCACACTTCAGGGCCAGAAGGAACCTCAGGCAACATTTAGATCACCTCCTCCTCCTTTTATGGGTGATGAACTCAAGGACCAGGATGGGAAAGTGATTTGTCCAAGGTCACACAGCAAATTAGTGGCAGAGCTGGGACTTGAACCCAGGTCTTTGCCCTCTTTGCCTGTGAAATATCTTAATGGGAGAAGATAACACAATATGGCCTGCATTATGATGGCCCAGTAGCAGAAGACCCCTAGACATGGCAGACTTGCTTTTGGTTTCAGAATATTATATCCTCATCTTCCCCAAGAACGCCTTTGATTTCTTTTCTCTCTCCATGGGAAGTAACCCTCTCTCTCTAGCAACAGAGAAGCCAGAGGTAATCCAGACACGGAGGCTGAACTGTAGTAATCTGTTGAGGACTTGCTAAGTGTGAACACAGACTGGGTCCATGGAGCTTTCCCCATAGCCCCATATGGTAGGTAGTGTGCTCGTCCCATTTTATAGATGAAGAGACTGAGGTTCAGAGAGGTTAACTAATTGGTCACAGTCCGAGCCTGGATGCTGGTCCACTGCCATCTGACTCCAAACTGCAAGTGCTTTGTGCTCTACCAGCCACCCTAGCCTGTGAGAGTCAGCAGCATGGGACTCTGCCCAGGTAAGCATCCATGCACTCAGCACATGCCCAAGCAGTGGGGAACATAGAGGCAGGCCCTTCCCTGCAGCCAGGAACAAATCTGGGCTGCCCAGCGTAAGAACAAAGGGGCACAGGCAGGGTCCTGGGAGCCCAGGCCGGGAGTCCTGGTGAAGGACAGCACGCTCAGCGGGCAAGGGTGACCTCACTAACTCCAAACATCTGTCCGGGTCTCCCGCCGACACTCTGAGTCAGGGTCTGTTCACTTTGTGGGCTGAGTCTATTTTCCAACTCAAATATTTGTCTTGTGTGAGCAGGCAGCTTTGCTGGTGGGGTCCAGGCTCTCCAGGGCACCTGCCTCTGAGAGCCCGACAGAGGGTGAGGGCGGCTCACTGGCTCTCCCTCAGGCTGGAGGCAGAACGAAGCCCTCTGCCCAGCTCCTTCCATCCCGAGCAACTGGCATTTGCTGAGCACCTTCCCTGTGGCGGGCACAGAGCTGAGAAATGTGCTTACATTATTCTGTTCATTCCCTGCAGTAATCCCGACGGGTAGGTACTATTATTCCTGGTCAACAGATGAGAAAACTGAGGCTCCTAAAGGCTTTCTGAGACTGCAGAGCTTGTGAGCCATGAAACAGACGCCTCAAGTGATTCTCATCTGATGCCAAAGCCTGTGCTCTTTCCACTAGACCAGAAACTGATCACACCATCGTCAAAAATAAGAAACTACCAGAAAGCCTGAGATCAGCAACATACTTAGAGAGATGACCTGTGGTTAGCAGATGCTTTTGATTTTAGCCCCACTGACATCTTCCAGCATCTTAGTTCCATGTCCTTCCAGAACAAGGAAGGACTGCTGAACTCTCTTTGTGCAGAGAAAGCTGTGTGCACATCGGTTCTCTCCCTCACCCACCAGGAGATGAAGCAGGTATAGAAGATTAAGCTGAAGGCAGATTGTCACCAGGCCTGATTCCTCCTCCTAACAGCATGGATTAATGTTTTCTGGGTTTTGTTTGTTTTTGTTTTTGTTTTTGTTTTGGGGACAGGGTCTCACTTTGTTGCCTAGGCTGGAGTGCAGTGGTGTGATCCTGGCTCACTGCAGCCTAGATCAACCTTCCAGGCTCAAGTAATGCTCGCACGTCAGCCTTCCAAGTAGCTGGAACTACAGGCATGCGCCACCATGCCTGGTCAGGGGCTACTCAGTAGGTGTAGAGAACAGAGTCTCATTAGGTTACCCAGGTTAGTCTTGAACTCCCGGGCTCAAGTGATCCTCCCGCCTTGGCCTCCCAAAGTGCTGGGATTACAAGTGTGAGCCACTGCACCTGGTCTAGTATTTTCTTGGGAGGAGACAGAAAGTAATTCTCTTATTCCTTGAAGTGAAAGGCAGAGAATTAGCAGTTAGCAAGCATGCAGGGAATACTTCGCACAAAGAGCACTAATGATAAGAGCTAGAAGTTATTGATAGCAATAACGATCAATACTAATAGATGGCAATATTAGCAATAATAATAGCAATATTAATAGCAAATTGCAATTAGTAACATTTTTGGGATTTTCCTTTATTAGGGGTTCTGTGCTGTCCTAGACCTGTGAGGCCTCTGTCAGGGCAGAACCCAGGCCCTCTTACATGGAGTGAGGGTTAAGAGCATGGCCTCTACCATCAGAACGTCCACCATGGCCTCTGCCATCAGACCATCTGGGTTCAAGTTTGGCTCCATCTTTATGAGCTGGGAGGTCTGAGGCAAGTGGTCTAGGTGTTCTGTGCTTCTGCCCCCGTCTGTAATCTGGAGATAAGAGCAGTACTGACCTCACAGGGTGACTACCCACTGTGAATTCAGATATAGCCTGTGGAAAGCATGATGCTCAGCACGGAGTAGGTGCTCAGAAAATGCCAGCATCATCGTGGCTGCTTGGATCCTCTCAGAGGTCTCTGTTCGGGCTGGCAGGCCCCTGGGTTTTTTTTTTTTTCCCCCCCCCGATGGAGTTTCACTCTTGTTGCCCAGGCTGGAGTGCAATGGCATAGTCTCGGCTCACTGCAGCCTCCACCTCCCGGGTTCAAGAGATTCTCCTGCCTCAGCCTCCTGAGTAGCTAGGATTATAGGTGCCCACTACCATGCCCAGCTAATTTTTGTATTTTTAATAAAGACAGGGTTTCACCATGTTGGCCAGGCTGGTCTTGAACTCCTGACTTCAGGTGATCTGCCTGCCTCGGTCTCCCAAAGTGCTGGGATTACAGGCATGAACCACTGCGCCTGGCCAGGCCCCTGGGTCTTGATGTTGTTGAAAGAAGCTGGGGGTGGCCCCGGGTAGACTCCTCCTTCCTAAGGGTCGTTGTTAAAGATCCGACGAACTACCGTGGTTAGCACTGCAGGCCCACCACGCGGTGGCGCTACACTGAGTACAGCAAATTCCTGGTCACTTGGTCACTTGGTGATCTGCTTCTCCTTCCCCAGGTGCTGACATCAACACACAGGCCAGCGACAGCGCATCTGCCCTCTACGAGGCCTGCAAGAACGAGCATGAGGAGGTGGTGGAGTTTCTGCTGTTACAGGGTGCCGACGCCAACAAGACCAACAAGGACGGCTTGCTCCCACTGCACATCGCCTCCAAGAAGGGCAACTACAGGTCAGCCCAGGCTCTGCCAGCACCCAGGCAGCTCTCTGGAGACCCACACTGGGAGTAGTGGATGGGAGGGGTGGGCCTGCCCTGAATGTCCCACCCAAGTAGCTGGAGAGGTCAGAATGGACATCACCTTTCTCATGGAAAAGAGGGAAACCCCTTAGCAAGTTAGCAAGCATGGAGTGAATGCCTATAACAACAGCAGCAGCAATAATAATAGCAAACCCTTATGCAGCACTTACCAGAACTTCACATCAGAAACTTGTTTAATCTGCTTAACAGCTCATGGAGGTGGATATTATTATCTCTGTCGTTTAGATGAGGAAGTAAGACACAGAGAGGTTGAGTGACTTGCCCAAGGTCACACAGCTCATAGGTGGGAAGTACTCATCTGCTCCAAAGGTCACATCTACAGGAATTCTATCCAGGGGGCAGATGTGAGTCTGAACTAATGAATATTTTCGGGAGTACAGGAATGCAAAGATAACCTCCCAGGCAATTAGCAAGCATGCAAGGAAAACCTACAATAACACAAACAGCACCAATGATAAGAACTAGCAGTTATTGAGCAATTACTATGTGCTAGATACTCTGAGCGAGATGAGAGAGGCTTGAGTTCCCAAGGAGCAATGTGGAGGAAGGGAAGAAGCACAGATATGTGAATTAGTGACATCATGCAAGAGCATGCCGAAGAGCTGCATGGCTGCTGTGGAGAGAGATGAGCCGGGGCTAGAGGCAGAGGTGTGCTAGAGCCAGCTCGTGCCAGTTCTCATGAACCTACTGCACACCTCTTCCCAACTCTGTGTTTGTTGACCTCACATTGGTAGCTTAAATTTGGCCATGGAATATTTACAGCATGGAAATTGGCAAATGCTACAAACCAGAGCCCTTTCCCCCTTCTCTGCCCGTGCTTGAGCCAGTTTTTAAACATTCCCAGCAACACTGCTACATGGGGAAGCCTGGGCCACAGACGTGGAGCTCCAGCTGCCCTTGAAGGATGGACAGGGCTTGGTCATTTCCAGAGAGTGACTCATCTGCCTGTCATGTGGGCCGCACGCTGTGCTGTGGGTATGCGGGTCAACCCGGATTTTCATTTTACAGGGCAGGAAGCTAAGACGCTGGTAGTCAAGAGACTTGGCTCTTGAAAGCCCCGTCCCCAGGGCTGGGACTTAAACCCCAACACCTGGCCATTTTTGCTGGACAGTGCTTCCCAAACTTTGTCCATTCACAGATTTTCTTCTTGATTTTAAATATCTATACTCTCATTGTTTAGTATTTTTTCCTTTAAATAATGTTTTTACTTACAATGAATTTATTTTGAAGAGGAAACATTTATCACACTAGTATGTTATCCATTTACAATCAATTTTAAAAACATTTCACTTAAAATCCCATTTCATGTACCCTGATGACACCTGGGAAAACACACCCCAGTCTTCCAGACAGGGAGGAGAGTGAGAAGCACAGATTGTGTGTGTTGGGGCGTGTTTGTTGTCTTCACGAAGGCAGAGGGAAATGGGGTGAAAGAGACATTCCAAAGACTGAAATAAAGACTCAAGGCTTCAGAGGTGGCCCTTAAAGCTCCGGCCCCTTCTGTGCAGGCTGCCAGCACCAGACCAGCCAAAGATGCCCTCCCCACTTCCCACCCTCAAGGACATACACAGAGGAGACCCGGCCTTTTCTGGACAGCATAGCTGTCCACGAGGCTGACAGATCTGGGTGTGAATCCCTGCTGAGGCCATTGGGAAAGTTGTTCAACTTCGCTGAGCCTCATTTTCCTCATTTATAAAATGGGAAATGGTTACAGCCGGCTCATGGGGTTGTCAGAGGACCAGTAAAATGGATATAATGGACATGCGTGGATATAGAATGGAAATAAAGCACCTAGCAGAGCGCCTGCACCCAGTGTGTGCCCAGGCATTCTATGCTCACCCACTCTTACTTAGGGAGAGTGTATTCCATGGTTGTGCAGTTACAGCTCAAGCCAGGCAGTGGGCACGGGCAAGATGGCTCCTTTCTCTTCAGTTCCACAAATCATCGAGCATCAGTCAGAGTTGGGCAAACACAGTTTACCTTGGGCCTGACCCCAGACAGATCCAGAGTGAACATGCGGGAAATGTGTGCACTTTGGAAATCTCCTGGGCCACTGCCCCCCGATTCTAGCCTGCACATCCGTGTCCCTCTGGGCTATTTTTAAAATGCCATGTCAGATCCAGTGAACCAGAATCTCCAGGAGAGAAGGAGCCCCACTGTCTCTTTGAAAAGCTCCCGGAGAAAATCAGATACAGCCTGTCCATAGCTGCAGGGGCCGTTGATCTAACTCAGGCCCTGGTTTTACAGAGAAGGAAGCCAAGGCCAGATATGGAAGTGATTTTCGAGATAGCAGCAGGGCTGGGACGTTCATCTGGGCTGCCTTCAAGTGAACCCAGAGGTGTTGGCAGTCTGACCCCAGCTGGAGGAGAAGCTGAATGGGCCCTAGGCGGCCTTGGGGATGATCCAGGAACACTGTATACATGGTTGATGTTCCCCTAAACTCACCTACCCTGGATTCATGCAGATTCCCAGGGTGAATTCCCTGGTTATTCAACCTCCCCTCTCAGGCCCCATTTCCCTCTGTCCCCCAAGGCTCAGAGGGCCTGGGCCACTTTTTAGGGCTACCCAACAAAGGGTTAAAGCCTGGTTCCCAGCAGCCTCTGCCACGGGGCAGGGCCCATGGCCAGCAAGCCCCGAGCTCATCACTCCCTCCCTGGGCATACAGCATTAAAGGCCCTCTGCTCGGAGATTTGATGTGACATTCCATAGGCATTCCGCATTCTGCCACCTGTCAACACACCCTAGCCGTCCCAGGCATAGAAGGCAGCACCAGGAGCCGAGGGCTGTTTGCCACATGGTGTCTTCTCGTCAGCACACTTAACCACAGGGGGTGACATGTGGGTGTGCTGAGAAAGGAGCCCTAAAGTCCCGATGTCCCAGTCACCTCCAAGACACACATTTTCCTGTTGTTCATTTCCAGTTTAGCAAAGCCACTGTATGAAATAAAAGATCAACACCAAAGATAGATTTATTCAGAAACTGTATGAGTTAGCCCAGAGCAGATGGCCCAAGAATAGCTCCCAAAACAGTAGTTTCCAACCTTGACTGCACTAGGAACCCTGATGCCTGGGCCCCACCTGACAAGATGGTGCTGCCACTGGCCTGGGCTGTGCCTGAGGCTTCAGGGTGTCTAAGAGCTGCCCAGGAGATTTTACTGTGCAGCCTGAGTAGAGAATCAGGATCTCAGAGCCTCTTCTGTGGCCAAGAGAAAACACAGACTTACGTTCTGGGCCTTACTTCTGACTCCCTCGTTTTTAAATATTCCCTCTCTTTTAACTCCAATATATAATACTTTTGCTGTATTTTATCAATCTTTGCAAGCCAGTTGAAATTCTTTCTGGAATAAGGCAAAATAGAGAACACTTAATACATTAAATTAAAAAGCAGTTTATAAAGTACATTGACAAGCAAGTTAATATCCCCATTAGTTAAAAGAGAAACTGAGGCTCACAGCTCAAGACTTCATAGGAAACAAGTCAGAGTGGCACAGTGAAGCTCAGAAGTGTTGGCAACAGAGCCGTCTGTGGGCAACCGGTTCCCATGTCAATCCGCCAGCCAATTTGTTGTTGTTGTTGTTGTTTGTTTGTCTTTGAGACCAAGTCTCTTTCTTCACCCAGGCTGGAGTGCAGTGGCACGATCTTGGCTCACTTCAACCTCTTCCTCCTGGGTTCAAGTGATTCTCCTTCCTCAGCCTCCCAAGTAGCTGGGATTACAGGTGTCCACCACCACACCTGGCTAATTTTTGTATTTTAGTAGAGACGGGGTTTCATCATGTTGTCCAGGCTGGTCTCGAACCCCTGAGCTCAAGTGATCCACCCGCCTCAGCCTCCCAAAGTGCTGGGATTACAGGCGTGAGCCACCGCACCCGGCCCTCCATCCAAATTTACACTGAACACTGACAAAGGTCACACCACAGTGACCTGGTGACTCAGAATACCTCTGTGTTTAGGGTCGCAGGGGCAGTAGGCTGCAGTCATTGTGGTGGTCAAGATACCAAGAGCACTGTTTATTCACTGCCGACTACAGGCCGATCAGATTCATGCGTAAGATCTCATTTTATACTCAAAAGCAGCCTTGGTGAAAGATTATTACATTGTGCTTTGTAACCTGGACCTGGGATTGTAAGCAGTCCTACCTTGCTGGACTGTTATGAGTAAATGAGTAAATGAGATTAAGTTCTTAGCTCTGAGGGTCATGCTAGGATTAAATTAAGTAAACAAATGTGACCACCCCTTTAAATGGTACCTGGCACATAGTAAGCGCTCAGCAATATTAGCACAACTATGACTTAGGAAGGTAAGGGGTAAAGTGCTCACAGCAACCCATTGGAGCTCAATAAAGGGTAGCTATAGCCATCATCATCATCATCATCATCATCACTATTATTACAATTAATTACCCCTCTGCTTTAGGTGTGGTTCAGAGAGGTTAAGTGACTTGCCTGTGCTGGCCCAGTGCTGAAAAGCAGAGCTGGTGTGTAACCCATGTACCCCTGACTCTGAGCCTCCTGGTTTCCCCAGTGCCCATGCTGGGCCCCTCTCTAGCTAAGGACAGCTTGCGTTGGCTCAAAGCTCTCTGCCCATTCCCCTGCTGTTGGGCTAGATTCAGAAAGGACATCAGAGCCAGGGCCAGGTGGTATGGCAAGGCTGCTGCTTTGAGGAAACTAGAATCCTGGCGTGGGAGCCCGGGCCTGGGGCAAGGATGTCAGGCTTCAGATACTGGTGAGTCCCGGGAACAAGACAGGAGCCCAGTGATTTGGAATGTGGTCCAAGGTCAGAGACAGCTCAGCACCTGCCACGCTGCTGCACTGGGCCTTTCTGGAATGACGCTGAGCTGGATCTGCTCTGGTCTCAGGGCCTAGACAGGCAAAGCTAAGCTGGTAGGTGTGGCCTCTGCATTGGGGAGGGGACAAGGAAGGGGTAGGAAGCCATCCTTCCAGACACCTACGGCTCTGTCAGGCAATGGTCACCTTTGATCCTCTTCATAAGGTGCCGCTTGAGCAATTGTACTCTGAGATCCCAAAACATGCCTGTGGGAGAAGTGGGGAGTCAGACTGTTTGGTGGGGTCACCCCCTTGTCCTCCTGTCCTCTGCCCCACAAAATGGGCTGGGGAGAGGAGTGATGATGTGCAGTGGGGCTACCAACATGGCCGCTCCCATGGTTGGGAGGAGTGGGGCATCGTAGAAGGCGTGACCCTGGGCATGCAGAAACCTGCATTTTGCTCTTGTGCACCACCCACCTTCTGTCCAACCTCACTCTATTCCTCACCCCAAGTCTGGGCTTCAGTTTTACCCTCTGTAAAATGGGAGAGCTGGACACACTGATCTCCAGAGCCTGTCCGGCATTATACATTTACTTTCTGATTGGCAGAGTCCTGCCACAATAATATGATTCACTGCATTACTGAGACAATGCTCAAGTTCCCACATTTCTGCCACTTTCCCTTGGTTCGTGAATTGCCAGAGACCAGCTGTGACCTGCCAGAGATACCAGCCCCATCTGGCCAGCGGCCCTGGGGCAGCCCCTCTCACTGTTCTTTTCCGTGCTTGGGCACGTTACAGCTGTTAGCGAGGCATTTGTTGGCTGTGGCCGCCATCCAGGGTGAGGCCCAGGCCTGCTTTTGACCAGCACCTCTGCAGAGCAAAGTCAGGCCTCCTGTGCCTACACAAATAGAAATTAGGAGGCAATTAGCCCCCCTGGGTGTGTGAATTTCCTTTTGAGGTTTTAGAGTCAGATTTTAGCCAAACACAGCATCACTAACAATAATAATAGTTTCCACTGAGATCCCAGCAGGAGGTCACTGGCATCAGATTTCCAGGAAGCCAGCATGCCAGGAGGCGAGAGGCGTGGGAATGGGCCTGGTGGCACCTGCTTCTCTCCCCTTCACCCCCCCCCCGCCCCACCCCCTGCAATGGCCACCTCCTTGGAGCCCCACAGGAGGCTGTGAGGTCACCTGTCAGCAGGGATTGGGCGGATTAGGGTCTGGAATCATATTGGTGGCAGGAGCTTGTTCTTGCAGGTGGCAGGGGTCTAGGAGAAGAGAGCCAAGAGAAGGGGTCAAGAATCCTGGGGTTGAGTCCCCAGAGTTGTCTTATGACTCCTGATTAGTCACCTCAGCTTTCTGAGCCACATCTGTTAAAAAGAAGGCCACAGGCCTGCTCCGGCCACTCCCACCCAGGGCTGCAGTGAAAGTAAAATGGGCAGGCAAGTTAACACATTGTGAAGACTGCAAAACCCCATGATATGTTAACTGTCACCCTGACTGCTACACAAGAGGTAGGGGAGTTGTTAAGAGTGTAGCTTTGGGGTCAGACTGCCTGGGTTTAAATCCTGGCTCCATCACTTACTGGCTGTGTATCCTTGGAGGAGTCACATACCTTCTCTGGGCTACTGTCTCCTCACCTCTGAAGTGAGGATATTATAGTACTCACTTCAGAGGGCAACTGGGAGGATTTCATAGATTAATAGAGGGAAAGGGCTGAGATCAGTGCTCGAGTTTTAGGACAGAGAGGAACTGGTGGTTGCAGGGAGCTCAGGCTTCAGCAGTGGCTGACCAAGTTCTCCACATCCAGAAGGTGAGGCAGAGAGACTGGGAGAAGCTAGCGTCAGCCTTCAGGGCAGGAGGCAGTGAGACCCACAGGAGAGGAGTGTAAGTAACCTCATGGTCACAGTGGGCTGGTTGGGGCCTGGGGCAGTAGTAGTTGGGGCCAAACACATTTGTCCCCTTTTGTCCTCAGGATCTCGTGGCTCCACTGGGGTCCCAGGACAGCAAGATAGGGATGTAGGACAGCTCAGCCCTGGAGTCAGAGGAGGGCACACACCCTGGTTCCCCTCTTCTAACTGTATGGCTGGGCAAGCCCCTTAGTCTCTCAAAGCCCTGAATCTTCTCATCTGCAAAATGGGAATGATGAGCCTTGCTTTACGAGTTATTGTAAAGATTGAACCCAATAGCACTTGTAAAGCCTTTAGGAGCCTTCTGGCACATAGTGGGCTCTGGGATCTGGCTGTCCCTGTCCGTCCTCCCCCAGAGAGAGCAGGGTCTGGTTCCAAACTTCGCCACACTGGATTTGGGGGCCTTCCAGTCAATTCCTCCAGATAACTGAGCTGGCAATGGGCAACAGCACTTAGCCTGAAATAAATCAGTGGCAGCTTCTTGAAACCCTGGTGCAGTATGACAGGTTTTTAAGAACTCAGACTTCCGAGGCCAAGGGTTCTGGGTCTGAAGCTCAGCTCTGCCCCTTACTGGCTATGTGACTTTGGGAGGGTGGCTGAAGCTCTCTGAGCCTCCGTTTCCTTATCTGTAAAGCGAGGACGGCAGCCAACCCATCTTCCCCAATGGGGCGAGAATGGTTGACCCGCGGCGCCCCCTGCCGGTGGGACCCGCGCCGCAGCCCGCGGTAAGGGCGAGCAGCCAGGCCTGGCTCCCGAGCGCTCCCTGCTGGCGAGGCCTGCCCCACCACGCCCCTCCCCTCCCCTCACCCGCGCCCGCCCCTCAACCCGGCAGGATCGTGCAGATGCTGCTGCCGGTGACCAGTCGCACGCGCGTACGCCGTAGCGGCGTCAGTCCGCTGCATCTGGCGGCCGAGCGCAACAACGACGCGGTGCTGGAGGCGCTGCTGAGCGCCCGCTTCGACGTGAACGCGCCGCTGGCGCCCGAGCGCGCGCGCCTCTACGAAGACCGGCGCAGCTCCGCGCTGTACTTCGCCGTGGTCAACAACAACGTGTACGCCACCGAGCTGCTGCTGGAACACGGCGCCGACCCCAACCGCGACGTCATCAGCCCCCTGCTCGTGGCCATCCGCCACGGCTGCCTGCGCACCATGCAGCTGCTGCTAGACCACGGCGCGAACATCGACGCCTATATCGCCACGCATCCCACCGCCTTCCCCGCCACCATCATGTTCGCCATGAAGTGCCTGTCGCTGCTCAAGTTCCTCATGGACCTGGGCTGCGACGGCGAGCCCTGCTTCTCGTGCCTCTACGGCAACGGCCCGCACCCACCGGCGCCGCAGCCCTCCAGCAGGTTCAACGACACGCCCGTGTCCAACAAGGAGCCCAGCGTGGTGCAGGTGGGTGGCGTGCGCCGCCGGTGGGGAGTGCTGCTTTTGGATGTGACCCGGGGACGCGCGCGCATGGGCGGCGGTGGGGCCGGGTGGTTCGCGCTCCTCGGGAGCAGCGTGGACTAGTGATTAACACCTTTGGGGGGAAGTGTGGACAGCTTTGGAGGCAGCAGAGCACAGTGGTTAACCCGCGTGGTGGGTAGTGTGGCTTAGCGGTTAGGGCGCTTTGGAGGGAGCTTTGGAGGGAACTAGAAGTTAGCACACTTTAGAGGCCGCAGAACTTAGTGGTGCATTGGAACAGTGAAATCCTTATTGTGGTCCGCTGAGTTGGGGAATTGAAGGAACCAATAGCGGAGCGGAGAACTCTGCCAAACTAAGAGGCTTGTCACCTCCAGCAAACCTACACATGGAATGCGATGTGAAATAAGCACGATCCGGAAAGGGATGTCAAGAGCAGGCTGGTGTAGGGTCAGGTCAGAGCAGAAACCAGCGACCCAGAGGCAGGACATGTCCATGTTGTTACTTTAAAAGTCAGAATTGGGCTGGGCGCGGTGACTCACGCCTGTAATTCCAATACTTTCGGAGGCCCAGGCGGGCGGATCACGAGGTCAGGAGATCGAGACCATCCTGGCTAACACTGTGAAACCCCGTCTCTACTAAAAATATAAAAAAATTAGCCGGGCGTGTTGGCGGGCGCCTGTAGTCCCAGCTACTCGGGAGGCTGAGGCAGGAGAATGGCGTGAACCCGGGACGCGGAGCTTGCGGTGAGCCGAGATCGCGCCACTGCACTCCAGCCTGGGCGACAGAGCGAGACTCCATCTCAAAAAAAAAAAAGAAAAGGCAAAAAAAAAAAAAGAGTCAGAACTTAAAAGGAAGTTAGACACACGCCTCTTCTGGAGATCATTATTTTAATGGTTAATGGGGATCATTCATGAGCTGCCTACTGTGTGCAAAGTTTATGCTCATGTTACTTAATTCTCATGTTAAATCCCCTTGGAATTGGTTTCATATGCCTGGTTTATAGACAGGGAAATTGAGGCTCAGAGGTGATGTGACTTGCTCAAGTTGCCCATCTTCCACTTGGGGCAGCAGAAGCCTGTGTTGAGGTGACATGGTTCAGGGGATCCTAGCCTGGGTATGCACAGTGTCTGTGCTTGGACACATCCCCTGTCCTCCCTGGCCGCAGGCTCCTGCTGGTGGAATGAACTCACTTCTTGGTCCCGGCGTGTTCTCTTTCAGTTCTGTGAGTTCGTATCCGCCCCGGAGGTGAGCCGCTGGGCAGGACCCATCATCGATGTCCTCCTGGACTACGTGGGCAATGTGCAGCTCTGCTCACGGCTGAAGGAGCACATCGACAGCTTTGAGGACTGGGCCGTCATCAAGGAGAAGGCAGGTAGGAATTTGCTGCTGCTGCCGAGGCTGGCAGATCTCCCTTCCTGACTCAGAGTCCCAGGCCTCAGGGAATGCGACTGTTCCTAACCCTGTGACCACCTGCTCTGTGCCAGGCTCTGTAACTCCTTGGATGAAACATGAGGAATCTGCCCCTCACAGAGTTGTGCCACCTGGGCCAAAGTCACAGTTAGTTAGTGGCAGAGCTGGGATTAAAACCCAGGTTTGACCAACCCCAGAGTCTCTCCACTACATCTTTCCATGATGTTTTAAACAGCTACAGCTCCCTGAGGGGTACCAGGACCTTCAGAGTAGGTTGTGAACGATTTGGGGCCACCAAGAGGCATTGTAGGAGGGGAGAGGGGAGGATGGTGGTCTAGGGTGTCTGAGACTAAAGTGCACATGAAGCACCTGGGTGTCCTGTTAAAAATGCAGCTTCTGATTCTGCAGGTCTGGGGCGGGGCCGGGGAGTCTGTATTTCAGCAGGCTCCCAGGTGACGCCAAGGCTGTTGGTACACAGAACACCCTGGTATGGGAGACAGGCCCCTGAACCCTGGAGCCAGCCTTGCCAGGACCTTGCTGGGTGAGGCCTCTCCCCACCTGAACAGACGTGCCTGGGCAGGATCATTGTCCAGTCCCTTTCAGCTCTACCCACCTGAACTGTGCCAGGCACAGTGAAGTGGGGTTCGGCCACTGTCCCTCTGATGTGTGCAGAGTAGATGGGGCTGCCTGGCTAAGCCAGGCTGAGGAAGCCAGAATCCCTCTTAGGCATTGATGGAGCTCACCTGGGCAAACAGGATTTCTGCCACCGGTGACAGAAATGGGTATCTGTGCAGTGGCATTCCAGCTACCCTAGGGCTTTCTCTGGCTCTGAGGGTACAGTCCTGCCCTGGCCAAGTGTTTGTCAAAGGAGGCTGACCTGCAGCAGGTCATTGTCATTCCACCACTACTGCTCCTGTCCCCAGGTGAGACTGTGCAGCCTCGGGGGCCCACCCCTGTGCCCTAACTCTGACTCACCACGTTCCTCCTTGATCCTCACACCCCTGTGATCCCAAATGGGCTGTAGGATTTTTCATTGGCACAGGTGCCTGGAAGGCACTTGAACTGAAGCCTTTGATAAAGTTTCTGGGGCAGTAACGGGGAGGGAGGCGTCAACTTGCCCATTCACTCAGGGCTTAACTCTAGATGCATGATAAACCTTCAGGGAATTAATGAATAATTGGTTGCTGTCACCTCGATCCTTGGCCACTAGAGGGTGGAGCAGTCTATGCCTAGATATCAGTCCCACCCTTTCTGTTACCTTCTCCTGCCTTCCTTAGAGAAGGGTGATCCCTCACAACTAAACCATGCCCCAGGGAAATCCCTGCAGAGACCTTAGTGTGCAGTACACATTTGTTAGCCAGTAAAACAAGTCGTTCTTAAGCAATACCTATTTGGGTTACTTTAAAGCCCACTTTCCACCTGCAAGATGGTCCCCACGAGCTTGTTTGTTTAATGCTACAACATCGACATCCTTATTCTGGGAAGGACACCACCCAGAGCCCATGGATTGGCCAGCCCAGCCCTCATGCTTCCATGTCCTCTGCTCACCAACAGCCTGTGCTGAGTTTCCCAGAGGGGAGGTTATATTCTAAGCTTGTTACCTAAGGGTTTTCCCCATCTATTTTCTGGACTGTTAAAAAAGTGTCCTAACTGGCCTCAATGCCTATAATTAATTATTCCAATTCAGCCATTAAATGAATATATATTCAAGACCTTCTATGTACAAGGTAACCACGTTATTTTTTTATCCAGACCACAGCATTTAAGAGATAGAAATAGGAACTAACCAGACAAGATGCCTGGACAACAGGAATGATGCTTCCCTGCTCTTTGTGGTACTATGTAGTAGAAACATCTGAGCTCAGAAGGCAGTGAACTCAGAGGGCAGCTTGGAGGGCAGTGGAAGTGTCAGAAACAGTGATGGGTGTGTGGATGCTTCGCTAGGCAACGCTGCAGCTGCCTGGCCCTCCGCCTTCGCTGCACATCCCACCTGCCCCTCCAGCCCCGGTCTTGCATGACTTCCTTGCCTTGCCACTTGCTGTTTTCCCTGCTTAGAATGTCCCTGTCTCCTGTCCTTACCTGGAAATTCCTGCCCTCAGCCCTCAGGACCCACTCAAAGGGCACCGTCTCTTGTGGAAGCCTCCCCTGGAGCCTCTGGGCAGGCACCTCTGCATATCTGGCCCAGGCACAGAGTCAGGTGCAGCAGAGGGGCTCAGCATGTGCCTGGGGAATGAATGAATGAATGAGTGAATGAATGAATGAATGAATGAGTGAATGAATGACATTCTGTGATTCTACAAGCCCTTTCTTTGTGTCCGACCCTTTGCTGAGGATTGAAATAAATTACTCCATTACTGGATGCATTCATCCCCTGCTCTTACCTCTACCCACTCCCCAGCTCAGAAAACTTCACTACATGGCTCCTGGGGGAGGCAGCCAGGTGGGATTCCGGGGCCTGAGGGGAGCTGCCAGTCTCTGCCCCCTTACCCTGGCCTCTCAGCACCTCCAAGTTGAATTCCACATGTGGGAGCAGTTAAGAGGTCAAACCTCTGACCCCATTGCTAAGGCTGTGTTTGGGGGCCCAGCTTGTGTGTGAAGAGGAAGAGGCTCAAGAGGAGGGAGACACCACCACTAGTCCCAGGAGGGATCCTGGGCAAGGCTCAGAACCTTGCTAAGCCTCGGTTTCCTCACCTGTGAAATGGGTGTGCTAACCATGCTGTCAACTGCTTGAGCTGTGCAGATCAATGAGGGGTGAACAGTGGGAAGGTGCCTTGCTGGGTCTCTTTAGTTGGCAGGGACTGGGGTGACCAGCAGCGGGCACCCCCTCTCTTACCCATCCACATCAGCTGGGCTCCTCCCATAGGCTGGGGTCACAGATGCAATCCCTTTGCTTATTGCAAATGATAAATCAGCCTCTGCCTTTCCCTCCTTTTTTCAGAACCTCCAAGACCTCTGGCTCACCTTTGCCGGCTGCGGGTTCGAAAGGCCATTGGGAAATACCGTATAAAACTCCTAGACACCTTGCCGCTCCCAGGCAGGCTGATTAGATACCTGAAATACGAGAACACCCAGTAACTGGGGCCACAGGGAGAGAGGAGTAGCCCCTCAGACTCTTCTTACTAAGTTTCAGGACGTTTCAGGACGTCGGTGTCCCCAACTCCAAGGGGGACCTGGTGACAGATGAGGCTGCAGGCTGCCTCCCTCTCATCCTGGACAGCTATCAGGATCTCACTGGGTCTCAGGGCCAGAGCTTTGGCCAGAGCAGAGAACAGAATGTGTCAAGGAGGAGAAGAATCATTTGTTTACAGACTGACGAGCAGATCCCAGACCTCCTCTGCCTTCGGGAATGGCAGAAACCTTCATTCCTGGGGCTAGGGCAGAGCTTGAGGTGTTCTGGGGAAGGCGGGCTCAGAGCCTTCCCTGCGCCCCTGCACTCGCTCTGGAAAACTCACCACTTGACTTCAGAGCTTTCTCCCCAAAGACTAAGATGAAGACGTGGCCCAAGGTAGGGGGTAGGGGGAGCCTGGGTCTTGGAGGGCTTTGTTAAGTATTAATACAATAAATGTTACACACGTGACACCTGCCCAGTGAAGTCCCTCTCATCAGACTTCCTGACGCCTGAGGTCCTCAGCCTTGCTCCTGGCAGTAGTGGGAGCGGGGCAGGTGTGGGGATGGGGCACAAGGACCCCTGAATGTGTCACCTTTGTTTGGGCTCCTGAAAGACCCCAGAGGCTGTGTTCTTCACTCCCCAGGCGAGGCCTGATGATGGCCCAGTGGGTTTTCCTCTCCTCGTTCAATCACCATGGAAACAAGCACACCATCACAAACAGCCTCAGGGCCCACATGTCTCCCGACACCTGGGGATGTCTTACACGTTTCCTGGCACTCTGTGTTCACACCCTGCTCACCCCTGTTTTGCTGGCTGTTGAGAAACTAGGGAAAAACATTAAATACTGGCCACCGTGAGTAGCAGTGCTAGAGTGATGGCCATGGTCAGCCCTTGCAAAGGCACCAAGCCTGAGAGTGCATGGAGCTCTGGCCTCGGCGTGCCTCCCTCTGTCCTCATGTGGCCCTGTGGGATGAGCAGGACAGGAATTGTCATCCTGTTTTCAGGCGGTGCAGGGCAGAGCTAAGGCTTGCCACCATGTGGCACTCTCTGGGGGTCTCTCCAGGCCCCGAGGGCTGAGATGCAGCAGGCCCTATTTCCATGGAAGCTGCAGTGACTCATTGGCGCTCCCTTTACAAGTGTGAGTGAAGCCGCCGAGTCCAGGCTACTCTGCAGCAACACCGGAGCAGGCCACCTGGCCCAGAGCCTGTACCAGGCCAGTCCCAGGATCTAGTAGAGTCTCAAGCAAGGTTAAAGGTAGTTTCTGGCCTTTGGAAATTAAGCAGCTAGATTGATGGAGGGGAGCACTGGTTCCAGGCTCAGCCTGCTGTTGTCTTGCATCTCTGGGGCCTCAGTTTCCTCATCTGTATGGTGAAACATGATGGCCCCTTGCTGGCTCTGACACACTGGGTTTCTTTTCCTTTTTTCTTTTTTTTCGAGGCAGAGTCTCACTTTGCTGCCCAGGCTGTCATGCAGTGGCATGATCTCGGCTCATTGCAACCTCCACCTCCTGGGCTTAGGTGATCCTCCCGCCTCAGCCTCCCAAGTAGCTGGGACTGTAGGGGCATGCCACCATGCCTGGCTAAAGACACACTGGGCTTCTATGGAATCAGTAACTCCCAGAGAAAACATCTTCCAAGCAGCACTTTCTGGCCACAGGTCAAAGGGGGCTCAACCTGGTCTTGCCCACTCCTTCATGATACAAACGAGAAACTGGCCCAGAGAGGGGAAGGGACTTGCCTGGGCACACACAGCAAGTCCCTGGGGTTCCAGCTCAGCGGTTCTTGGCCACAGTCCCATGCGGCCTTGCTGTTCACCAGGCAGAACCTGCAGGGACCCTGAAGAAGCCCCAAAGGAAACCCGCATGCTCCCCCACTGGGGATGCTCAAACCCAAGAGCCCAGGGTAAGTTGCCAAGGCGGGTTCAGCTCCCAGGGGAGAATCCGATGGAAGAACGCCTTTGCTGACCCGGAAGCCAAAGGGAGGGCATTTGCATCTCAGGTGACTGCTGGTCAAACTGACCCCAGGGGTGGCAGGTGGTGATGGATGAGGCATGCAGGGCCAGTGTGCGAGTTGTTTGGTGTGTGTGGACTGAGATGGGTATTGGGCAGACTCTTAATCTACAGCATCTCGTGGACCACATTATGTCCTAGGGAGTCCTAAGGCAGCAGCCACAAATCTCCGAGCCCAGAGACGCAGGCACTGGGCAGGGCAGTGTGCCAGTCTGAGGGAGGTGCCACCCTGGGGGAGATGAGGCTGAAGGGGTGAGTGGGAGGTATAGGGGAGGGGTTTGGCCACTGTTTTCTCTGTAGTCGCCATTTGCAGGATGTGGCACCTCCTGGCCTAGGACGCACCAGTGCTACATTTGGGTTCTTAGAATATTAATGTACAAGCGTCCATGCCACTTAGTCAAACACTGCTCAGGACCCCTCCCTGCAAGCGCCATGCCTCCTTAGGTCCCTGCCCCCACCTCCCCACAACCCAGCAACTAAGGGGTTCATTCCTGGCCTGGGACTGCTCCGGTGGGTTGGTTCCAGTTGGTCAGTGCTCACATTGTGCCATTCGTTATGCATTTTGACCATCACTCCTGTGTGGAGCACTTTACAGCCACCTCCCTCTGCAGAAGCGGGCCCCTCCTGCAGCCGCACCTGCCTAGCCCCAAGAGGTTTGCAGCCTCAGGGACGTCTCACAGCATTGCAGACACAGCCCTGAAAGTCTGGCAGAGATTCCCCTTCGTGAACTTGACCCAGTGGTGGGTGTCGGGGATGGTGAAGGGGTGCGGGGGGTGGGTGCCTGGACTGGCTCCGGGTTTTACTTTGAACCAGTGCCGTTCACTTTATGATTAGGGGAGTATCTGCTGTTGTTACTGCAGCAGCATTTAAAACTGATTTTTTAATACCAAAGCTTTCCTAAATGCATGCTTTCTGCCTACCTCGCTTCCACGTGGAGGCATCATGTTGCCAGGGGCTTCTCTCAGGCCATGTCTTGGTAGAGGTTTCTGCTTCCCAACTTTTGAATGAGTGAGTCATCAGGTACCCCCTGGGGCTGTGAGCAGGGACAGGCCAGTCTTACCAGAGAGACCTGAGCTTTCTCCCCAAAGACTAAGATATCTTAGTCTAAGACTGGAGCTCAGGTCCTCTTCTAGCGGATGTGGTTGGTTGTGTGGTCCAGGCACATCATCCCCTGGGCAGCACAGCCCATAAACGGTATTAAAATGTCAGCATGACAGAACCTACAGACACCACCAGATAACTACAAGAGGTGACTTGTGGTTGGTGGAGCTTTTGAGCATCTGGGTAGCACAGTGGGCCAGGCACTCATATTGGCCTCACAACAACCTATACAGCAGGTCTATTATCAATCACATTCTTCAAATGAGGAAATTTCAGTACAGAGAGGTTAAGTAACTTGCCCAAGATTGCACAGCTGATAGATGGCAGGCTAGGATGCAGGCATTTAAACCCCTCCTATGCAGTTTGCAGGGAGCTGAGGCTCATCGACATGGATCCAGAGGGCCTGTGTGATGCCACACAGAGGGCAGAGGAGGGTACCCCACCCCCCAGCCCCTTGCTGCTCTTTAAGACCAGACCAGTCAGAGGCTGAGGGTCCAGGTTGAGGACTGTCCCCATCCCATGGGTCAGATAATGACTCTGAACAGCTCTGCCCGGGCCATTCCTGTTTCTGTGGCTCTGAAGTCTTCAGAGGCCATTGGACAGAAACCACTGGCTGGCTTCCTGGTGAGGGGGCTGCCCCTCCAGGGGACTCCCCATGCCAGGGGAATCCTGGAGTAAAACAAGGCAAGTAGGAGGGGCCCTTGGTGACCACCGATCCTGCAGCCTGTATTAGTGAGGAAGAATCAGAGGCCATATCCGGGCTCCAAAGGAGGGAGCCTGTGACCAGCCAACACTTGCCTGGGGTGCAGAGGAGGTAGATGCACCTGTTTCCTAGTCCTCCATTGTACAGATGAGGAGACTGAGGCACAGAGTGAGGATTAACTTGTCCAACATCACGCTGCTGATGAGAACACCATAGTCCCCAGCCAGGACTGGCCCGCCGCACCGTTCTTAGTTGTGAAAACTGTGTTCTGATAAAATAAGCAGCTCGGCAGGCCAGCAGGCCCACCCTCTCTCAGCCATGGAGCCACGTCCACAGCAGCAGAGAAAACCTGGGCCTGTGTGCAGGTGGAGGCCTCTCAGGTAGCTTTGCTAGTAGGACACTAACAGCAAAATCCAGGGCCACTTCCTGCTACCGGTACTCCCCTCTGCACTGTCACAGGCAAAAGCCCTCAGCATTCTATTGATGGGGCACCTGGTATGTAACAGGCCCAGGGAGAGACCCATCGGCAGGTAACCCGGAATCTGAATTAGCTAGAGAGGATCCTTTTGTATGTGCCAGAGAGAACGAGGTTTAGGGGAATTTGCTATTATTTTTAAAATTGATTTATTTTGCCCGTGGACATAGACTCCAAGACCATGATTTGGAGAAACAATTTGGTCAAACCACCTGTTTTGTCCACAAGGGACCAAACTCCTGTTTGGCCTGATTTTCCCTCTGACCAGAGTTGGGCACAATCACCTTGGCACAGAGGCTGCCCTGAGGCTGTGCACAGAGCAGAAGGCACTGCAGAGAGACTCATTCTCCTCTCACTGTCCTGCAGATGGGGCAAGGAGACCCCCAGAGGAAGTGTCCGGCCCCACAGCACAGGGCGGCGCTGAACTGCAGCCCCACCTCCCCTGGTTCCAGCGCCTATTCTCCGGAGCACGTTGGACGCCCTGGGGGGTCCACGCCAGCATGTCTTTCCCTAGTGGCTCCTCTCCTCCCCTCCTCACCTTCCTTCCGTTGAACCAAGCTCTTGGCCCCCAGCGCCCATTCCCAGATATCTCAGAGGTTTCAACCACTCCTGGCCTCACTCAAACCAGCCACCTCTGCCAGCAGCCCTCAGCCTGGGGCTCATTCAGCTTCATGATACCCAAGATATGGAAACTCCAAAAGAAATGTCTTTATTCTTTTAACTTTCTCAATATTTACAAAGAACAAGAAGAACAACAACTGAGATTGGCTTGCAGAGTGGGTGGCAGGTGAACAGATGTGTCACTCTGGCTTCCGGGGTGTCTGCAAGCAAGGGCAACATCCTAGCACCCATGGTCTGCACAGGGACAGCAGGACAAGCTGCTGGGCCCTGGCCTGCTTGGAGAGGGGCCAACCAGCCCCCCAGCTTCCAAGACTGCAAGACTGAAGGGTGACTGCTTGAGGAGCCCCGCCCCAATCCTGCCCTCCGCTCCCATACGCACACAAATGGAAGAGGCCACACTGTGGCCCAGCCACCTCCTCACAGGAGAGCACCTCGGGGACCTTGACACTCCTGCAGGCCAGAGGTGGGGGCTGAGGCCCTCTCGGCCCGGCTAGAGGTAGCCAAAGACATTGAAGATGGGTGGGGGCACGGCCGGCTTGGTCGGAATGGGTTTCAGCACCACAGGCCTGCACACCTTCTGCCCCAGGCCGTCCACATCCTTGCAGAGGTGCGCCAGCTCCCCGGGAAAGGCTGGACTCTTCTTCCACAGGCCCAGGCTGGGGACAGGACTCTGAGGCAGGGCCCCCAGAGGGCCCGGGTAGATGGGCTGTCCATGGTACTGGAAGGGGCAGCAACTCCAGGCATTGACGCGGCCCACCAGGGAGACCCCAGGCATCTTGAGTGGCTCCTTTTCAGCCAGGGCCCTCGGAGACATGGGCACTGGGACAATCTCAGGCCCCAGGGGCTCCAAGCCCTTGCAATTTTTCTTACCCTCGTAGGGAGGTCCCTCCCTGGGGCCCAGTCCCCCCTCCAGCCCCACATGGTAGCTGTGGGTGGGCCTCGGCTCTTCCCAGAAGGAAGCAGGCAGCTGTCTTTTCCTCATGGGCACCTGGCCAGGCTGGGCAGCTTCTGGATGCTGCCCCTGTAGGAGCTGCTCCTTAGCAAGACATTCCTCCCTGTAGGGGTTCCTCAGCGCCTTCTCCTTGCAGCCCCCACCCCCGCCGGGGCTGGAATCAGGGCCCAAATCGAGAAGCAGCCTCCCGGGCCGGTCCTCAGACCCCCTTTTCAGGTAGGGCTCAGCGGCTCTGCCCGGAAGTCCCCGCGGGAGCCGGGAATACTTCTGGGAGAAGCGCTTGAGCTGCTTCTGCAGGTACTTGCGATGGTCCACGGAGCGGCGGCAGGGCGCTGACTTGTCCAGGGCGGCCTTGATGTCGCTGGACGCCAGGTTCACGAAGTTCAGCAGCATCTTCACATCACTGTCGGATGCCATCACCAGGGGGCCACTGCACGAGGCTTTCCATGAAGAGGGTGGGCTCTGCTGGTGGCCGGCAGCTCCAAGGAAGGGCACCAAGCTGACCTGGGGGACAAAACAGGCCATTGGAGTCTCTCCGAGCAACGACACCCAACACTGCCAAAAGACCACAGCACCTGTCTGCAAACGGTGTCCCCACCCCAGCACCCCTCAGCCTTAAACAGAGTCCTGGGTAGAGGGATGTGGGTGCAAGTGGCTGAGCACTTCCTGCACACCTGGGATGCAGCAGGCGCCAGCAGAGCCTCACCCAGCCTGCTTGCGTCTGGTGCCCTCTTCTTGCAGCCAAGGCTCAGAAAGGTCAAGCAACTCGCCCAAGGTGACCCAGCTACAGGTGGCATTGCTGGGGCTGGCACACATTCCCAGCCTGCCCCGTCTCCCACACACCACGCTGCCAACTTGCCAGTGAGGTGTTTATTCTCTGAGCTGAGGCAACTGCTCCACTTTAAAGCAAGGCCAAGCCCCCTTCCTCCCTGGTGGTAGCCTCCCCCTCCCACCACTCCCGCCCCCGGCATGAGGAGCGCCAGCCCCCCTCCTCAGTCCCCACGCTCCACCCCCAGCTCTCACGCAGGACCAGGCAGGACCCCTGTCTGGCACTTAATCGAGACCTGCCTTGCAGGCTGATCTCAGGCTGCGGGCAGCAGGGACTCCCCCGAAGAAGCATCTGCAGCAATTTCATGCCTCCTCGGCCGCCACCCACGGCACCTCGCCCCTCCCCCAGGCCCCAGCCTGCTCCACACCCGCCACCCAGTCGGGCCAGAGCCACTGGGCCTCCACACTGACCGAAGGTGCGGCCAAGGCCCAGCCAACGTGGCCCGGCAGGTTCCCCACTGCAGACCTGGGACAGGCCCCGGCGCAGCCGGCTGAGCTCCGTCCGGCTGGAAGCAGTTGTGCAACCCTCGAGTGGGCTGAATGGAGGACAACTCCCCGGAGCTGGGGGGCCCCTCAGGCCAATCAGGAGCGCCTCTCCAGATACAAAGCATCCCAATCAGGCGGCGGCGCCCCGTTCCCACATTCTTTGCCGTCACAAATTGTCACCATGGGGACCATCACAAAAAAGACAGCTCCCAAATGCAATCATTTCCCGGTAAATTTCTACCCTTCAGCCCCACTCTCCTGGGCCTCCACGCTCCTCCTCCCCTTGACCTCGGTTCCCTGGTTTCTCAAGGGGGTGGTGTGTGTGTGTGTGTGTGTGTGTGTGTGTGTGTGTGTGTTTAAAATGTCCAGGATCGAGAAGGGGCTGGGCCTAGTAGAGACAGGCTTGCAAACCTCCCCCAAAGACTCCAGGCCTACAGCTGCCATGCTCCAGTGCGGACAGACAATCGGACGGGGTAAGCTGGGGCGGGCTGCTTTTCCCGCTGTCCTTGAGTGTTGAGTGGCTCTCTCTCTCTCACTCTCTCTTCTCCTCTCTCTCTGTCTCTCCGTCTCTCTCTCTCTCTCTCTCTCCCCCTCCCCCCCACCATCCCCACCACCCTCCCTGCCAGGATCCCCAGGGATCAGGGATGGAGGGCCTTCGAGGTCGGGAGGTGCGCTGATGCCTGTCGGAAAAGGTGGCCGAGGAAGGACTCTGTAACGAGGTGCTGGGATATCCATGGGAAGGGAGCTGGAGCTCTCAGGAATCTTGTCTTTATGTTTGCTTCCTCAATTGAGCTGCACAAAGCCTGAATTGCCCATTCAGCGCAGCCGGACAAAAGGTTGGCGTTGCACGGTCCCCTTGCATTTGTAGTCAAACAGTTAGGGACTTAAATCGAGTCGTCATGATGGAGAAAGAGGTGGACAAAGCCCATAGAATTGCCATCAGCAAACATTTTCCTGTGTCATATTAGCCAGTTTCCATGGCTCCCCCTGGCCTGCGGACAATGGCACAAGTTTGCACACTTGGCTACTGTCACCGTGCCAACGCCGGCGGGGCTGCAAGCAGGGCCGCTCTGAGCAAGCAAGGGAGCCCAGAGCCGGCGTTGGCCCTGCCCACCAACTGGCCAGAGGGAAGGTGAGGCTGAAGGCGAGGGCGGCTGCCTGGGAAATGCTAATGGTCGTGCCTCCGTGCCAGCCCAACTCATGGGCCCCTTTCAAGCCTCATCGTTTTTCTCTCCAGGCTCAGCCTCCTCTTCCCTCCTCGTCTCCTTCCCCTTCCTTTCCTCTTCCCCTTCTACTGCCTTCTCCTCCTGCCTCCCTCATCAGCCAGATGGCTGACGGTCTATGCACCAACCCACGCCTCTGTACTGCAACCTCAGATTTGGCATCTTAGGTTGCAGGACTCCTCTCTGGAGTCTCCCTACCCAGACTGGGGGCATTGGCAGGGCAGGGCCAGGGCCTCCATCCAGGAGGGATGGCCCCAACTCCTTCCCACTGGCCAATAGACAGCTGCTGTGGTCTGCCTCCAATCCATCTCCCCTACCCCCAGCCTGAGGGTCCCTACAGGCAAAATGAAGGGTTTGGAGGAGATGGCCCGTGCTGACAAGCTGTAACTCAATTTAGGCCTTGAAAGCCAGCACTGTATTCCCCATGCTCCTATCCTGCTGCGGGGTCGGGGAAGTGTGGACTGAGACGGAAGCGCCGCTGGACTGACGCATCCTAGATTGTCGGCCACTACGTGCCCTGGAGAGTTGCTCCTGCCTGTGGCAACCTTTGCACGGGTGAGAGCCAAACCATCATCATTTTAAGTGCCAGAGATTCGAGGGCTATGTGTTTCTGCAGTAACTCCCAGCCCACCCTGACTGGTACAGGCAGGAAATATCCTTTCTGCTCCAAAACACCTGGCACACGTGGCTGGAGAGAGTGTCCTGAGGGCCTGTGGCCACCAGGGCCAGCTCCCTGCTGCCTACTGCATGAAGCCGGTGTGCACAGCCAAGAGTTCGAACCTCTCTGGCAGCCAGCACCTGACCACATAACAGCCTGCTTTGCTGTGCCCTGCCTTTTTCTCCCCGGGCCTTCTGTGCTTTCTGTAGGCTGCATCATTCCTCTCTCCAGAAGATCTTTTCTCTTCTAAGGGCGTCAAGACATTTTAAAGCCACTCAGCTCAGCTCCCAGAGTCCTCGAGATCCCACGGCACCTGCAGCCCTGCCGGCCCATTCCGCGCTGCCAGATCATGAAGATGTGTCTCTTTTCTTAGCTAGTAGTGAGTCCCTGCCAGGCCCGTGGACTCCATGGGAGGTGAGTCGGTGTCTTATGAAAGTCTTTCCAAAGCTCTGAATGTGGGCTGTTCTCCCACCAAACACTTTTTGAGGAAAGAGAGAAGGAAGAAAAGAGGGAAGCGAGAAAGGAAGAGGAGAGAAAAGTGGAAGAAAATGGATTCTTTGCGGACACTCAGCATGTGCCACGAGCCATATTCGAGCCACATGAAGACCTCACGTGACCCTCGGGGCAGCTCCGTGAGGATAGTGTTTCGGTTGCCCTGACAAGTGAAGTGAGGTTGAGTTACTTTCCCAAGGCCTCACAGCTGTTAACCAGCAGAGCTCGAACTTGAAGCCAGGCCTGTCTGCGTCCAAAGGCTGAGGTGGATCTGCCTGGCCACATTGCCTCCTGGCGCTTCCATGAGCACCAGACACTGCCTAAACGCTGCTGGCCAAGACCAGATTTTCTCCACGCGTCCTGGGTTCCACTCTTCTAGCCCAACGTTGGACCTTCCTGACTCAGGAATACGGGAGCTGCAGCTTTGGGAAGTGAGGAGCGGGGAGAGGAGGCAGCTATGGCTTGAGGCCAGGCCTCTCGGTGCCTCTGACCCACACAAGGGAAGGCTCTCTGTGTTTTTGTGATTGGCCATATAGGCAGGTGGAAAGACAGCAGTAATCATACGAGTCTGAAGGTTCTCCCAGTGTTCTCTCATTATTGTCCTGTGTCTGGGCAGAGGGGATTATTTTTCCCATTTACAGTTGGTGACACACTCACAGAAGCCTCAAACCTGATTCTTGGGCCCAACTCAGCCAACCCTGTCCTCTCGGCCATTCTTCAAGGCCCAGCTCAAACATCCCCTCCTCCAGGATGCCTCCTGCCAACTCCTAGCATTGTTAATAATGCCCTCTTCACATCCCTGTGTTCCTAGAGTCAAAGATGAAGTCTAACCTCCTTAGCTAAATGCAGAAGACCCTTAGTAATCTGACCCCTACTACAGTCTGGCACAGAGTAGCTTCTTACTAAATGTGTTATGAATTAAATACTTTGCCCATTCCACTGAGCAGGATTTTTCCTGTGGACCGTAAACAGCTGCTTCCTGTTTTTTGTTTTGTTTTGTTTTGTTTTAAATTTTGTCTGTTTATTGTTTGCCCCACCCAGGTGAGCTCCAGGAGGGAAGGGAGGTCACCCACAGGTTTCTCTCTGTACCTCCTGTGACTCGAATGGACTCAGCACACAGCAGGCCTGAGTGAAGGATGCTTGTGGTTGCTATAGCTTACGTGACAACGAATTGTCTGTGATCCTACAGGACTATGGCGCATGAAGCTGGAAGCGCTTCTTCCCGACTGCATCGCCCAGCACCAGAGCCTGGGTTCTGTAAAGCTCTGCTAAAGGCACATGAGCTGTGCTGGCTTCAACTGCCGTGAACTCGGA